ATTTGATATTAATTTACTTTAAAATTTTTAAGTTTTTGTTTATTTTTTACAACTATACTAACTATATTACTAACTTTTTTTAGGTTTTTTCAAATTTTTTTATTTAATTTACTTTAAAATTTTAAGTTTATTTATTTTTTACAACCAACTATATTACTAACTTCATTTTAAGTTTTATTTTTTTTTTATAATCTTAAAGTATTTTAGAAATGTTTCAAGATAAGTCTTTCTTTTTCAAAAAAGTTTGAAAAAAAGCCAAAGCAAGAAGCCAACTATAAGACTGACAAGTTTAGAAAAAACTAAAGAATCTGAACTAAGCAAAAGTTTTTTAGAAAGATTTGAAAATTTTAGAGTTGAATCAAATAGCAGAACTGTTACTTTAAATAATTCGAATATATCTGATTATATTTAATATTTTTAAACTTAAATTTTTTAATTTTAATAAGTTATTAGTTATTAATTTTAATTTATTTAATTTTATGCATTAACAAGATTTTTGGTAAAAATTATTAAAAATCAAGGAAAAATTCTCTATAAAATTAGAAAACTTAAATCTAAAGATAAAAGAATTGAAAATAGATTAATTGAATTAGAATATAAATTAGAGAATAACTTTGATTTTAAGAATGAAAAGATCTTTAAAAAAGTAATTATTTGAGTTTAAATTTGTTTTTTTAATTAATTAAAATTAATTTATATTAATTTAATAAAATAAATATATTAATAGGATACAATTAAAGGGGCTGCTAAAGAATTAATTACTTATACAATATATTCTGATATAAAGAATTAAAGTTAGTTATAGAAAATTATATTAAGCCTAATTTTAATGATGATTTTTAAAGATTTTTATTAAAACAGTGAAATGCATATTATATAAAGAATTTTAATAAACTAGTAAAACTATTTTATTCATCCTGATGATCACTTGTACCGAATTTCATACTAACAAAAATAGAAAACTTATTGGAGAAAGTAGAAGAAGCTACTATACAAATAATGGTTTTTATAAAGATCAAAGTGGTTCTTCTATACTGAACTCCTTTATATATTTAGCAAGTAAACTAAAAGCACACATATTCAAAATAACTGGCAGGAGGCACCCTTGTATAACAAATTTTAGTAGAAGTCTTGGCTTCTGTTAACGAAGTTAAAATAGTAGGCCTTATAGGAGAACAATAAGCAAGTTTTTAACACACTTACTAGAAATTTAAGAATATCTGCTAACTGAACACCACTACCATATTTCTCGCTTGGTTTTTTGACAGAAGTTTTTACAAAAAGTGGAAATTTAGCATACCTTCTATGAAAGATCTACAAAAATCATTTATTTTAGAAATAAGAGAATTATTATTTTTCTGGAATTAGGAGTAACTCTAAGCGGAGTGAAAAGGCTAGCTGTAGAACTGATGAGGAAGAAATTAAACATCAACATCTCTATTATCGAATTACATTTACATATAGTATAGACCTATTTCTAGAATAAAGACTGGAGTAGCAGTACTATATAATTTTTACAACTTGCTCTGGCTGGGGCTTCGGCCCTCTTTTTGTTTTTTCTTTTTCTTACTATTACATGTTTGTTTTATTGTTTTGTTTTGATTTGGGTTTTGTTTGTTTACTTTTGGTTTTTTTAATCGTGTTCTTATTTGTACATATTTTTATAATACCCCTTTTTTTTCGGCTTTTTGAGAAGAAGGAAAAATTTAAAGGAAGGATTAAAGACAGTTAATGCTTTTCCAGAGAGAGGAATCCTTTCTGGTACAGCTTTAAGTAGCCAGATAAGCAGTCTACCTCTAACTGGGGTAGTGCAACAGGTCACACTTAGGTACCAATAAGGTGGCCAGGTGATGCTGGACTTAGTTATTAGAAAAATTCTATATAGTTATTATATATAGTTGCAAGAATCTTAATAAAGTACTAGCATGGCTGCTTAAGAGCAAAACAAAAAAAAAAAAAAAAAAAAACTATTTTATTTAATTTATTTCTTAATTTCAATTATATTAACTAATTTAATATAATTTAAACAAGTTTGAAACTAATAAAATTAATTTCTTTTATAATTTATATTTTTAGTTTTTGGAAAAAATTAGATCTTTGCAAAGTACTTTGACTAACAAGATTAAATCTTTTATATTTTTTGTATTTGAAAATCTTTTAGAACTAATAAATATAAAAGCATCATCTGAGACAGTTCTAAAAGATCTGAACAAACCAAAGCATGTTATAAATAGCTATTTGATAAGATAGAAAAAAATTCTAATAAGACCTATATGTCTCAAATTTTAAAAAGAATTTGGCCTAATAAAAATAACTCTAAAGAAAATATAGCATATGCTATAGCTGTAATACAAACTATGCTTAATTCCAAATATGCCAAAATAACAATATCAGATACTGCTATTAAAAATTTAATTACAAAAAATTTAGTATGTATTTATTAATATTTTAGTATTTATTGTTAAAAATATTTAAATTAATTTACATTTTATAGAATATATTAGAGCATAGTGACAGTTTTTATATTTCAAATTCTAAAGATAAAGATAAAAAGTTCAATGAAGATAAAGAAGAATCAGTTGATAATAAATTAGAAAAAGTTGATAAAATATAGTTTAATTAATTAAAATATTTTAAATTTACTATAAAAAAATATTTTCTTATATTCAAATTTAAACTAATTAAATAGGATTAAGTTAGAAAATATAAATATAAATCAAATTAAGCCAAAAAGATATAATATTTAAATTTAATTAAATTAAATCAATATAAATTAATATTTATAATTTTGTTTTAAAATGAGCAAAAGATCAAGAGTTGGTAAGTAATAAAATTTAAAAATTAAAAGCAATTTAAATTAATTTAAACTGTTGTGATTTTAATTAAATAAATTAAATTTAGAATACATTAAATTAGATTAAGATGATTTGAATAAAGATCAAGAAAAAAGTAATAAAGAACCTGAAGATAATAATAAATATATTGATAATAATGAGTAAAAGTTTTTTTTTGTTTTTTATATATGAATAATACTGCACTTTTTTTGTCTTTTATTTTTTTATATATTTCTTTAAAATAGAATTATTATAGTTTAGCTTTTTTTATATATAATATTTAAAATAAAATTTATTAATAAAATTTAGATTAAGCTGTAAAATTTGTAATATATATGTTTATTTGAATAAATTAATTTTAGTTGTATATTTAGTATAATTTGATCTAATTCAAATTATTTTTATAATAAACAAATAAAATAGTGCTATTAAATATATTTAGAATATTTACTTTAAATCATAATAATTTGATTTAGTACAATTTGATTTAGTACAATTTGAATTAGTTTGAATTTTATTTAATATATCTGAATTAATTCATATTTTTTAATTAAAATATTTATTTTATTCTAGTTTTATAGCTAATTTATTTTTTCTAGTTTTAACTTATTGCAAATTATTTTAAATTATTACAAAATTTTTTTTGTAATATTGTATAATATATTTTATAATATTTCATAATTAAAAATTGTGAAATAGAAGTATGGCAACCTAGTGAAGTGATCAGGTTGTCAACCTTCCAAGTGGTAAGTTGGGTGTTTAAATCCTATTAATAGTAAAAATTTGGATAATTATCTATATAATATTTATATTATGGCAACTATTACTAATAATTGAGTTAGGATATCTGTAATAGTAGTCATATCAGCATAACTGGCAGGTCATAGAGGCATTTGTGCAATGTTGGAGTTATATAGAGAAATGCAAACCAACAAATCAGGCAATACAAATACTAGATAAGTCTTTGTAGCCATATAAATCTATTGAAATTAGATAACAAAAAGTCTATTTAAAAAGACTTGAGTAAAGAGGTAGCTGGATTTTTAATGATGCTATTGTAAAGGCTAGTCTAGGGTAACAGATACCTAGGTCTTAGTAAACAAATAAGCAAAAACCTTCAGATTAGAAGTTTTAAAGATACTATTAACCAGGCTGCTAGAACAAATCAGAGAAAAAGAATATTGAGCTGATCTGATATACTGATAGACTGATTATAGTTTTATATGAGCCATTTGAATTGAAAATCTAATAAAATTTAGAAATATACTAAAGTATCAAGGTTATGCTGTGAAGTAAATGCTAAGGTCTAAGTAAATTCTACAAGGTTATAGCAATTTAATAATTAAGCTCTAACTGCAAGTGTTAGTTCTGATATAGTAATATCTAGATTAGCTATAAAAATAAGTACAGTAGGCTTTAAAAGGTTTACTTTAAGAATAAATTAGTTTTAAGATTGAGACAATAATTTGGACATCTAGGTATAACCCAGTAAGTTAATACAGATTACAGGTTCAGAGGGTTTAAAGTGAAACATTCAAGCAGAAGTATTAGGTATAGCAATTAGTAGAAAAGTTTTAGACAAACTCTTTAAATAGATAATATAAAAAAGTTATATATGTAGCCAATTGTATGCTCTTTTGTAGTGGTTTATTGAACCACAATACTGATAAGTAATTAATAAAAGTCAAAAGACAAAAGATTATCTTAACACCAAAAATATATATATATATAAAATATTCTATGTTGATCATAATTATTGTAGAATTTTTCAGTTTATAATAACTTATATAAGATTATATTTATATAATTTGCTGATAATGTAACACATGCATGCATAGCCAATTAGAATTAGTTATAAGATAAAGTTGTTTTTTTGAAGTTTATATATAGCAAATTTGAAAAATATGAATAAAATAAGCTATATTTATTTATTTTTTTTAAATTATAAAAATTATATCTATTCCTCACTATTAATATTTTAAAAAAAAAAAAACATATTAGCATAATTTTTTATAGTAATAAACCTTTGACTTTTATTTCTCATTTTAGAAAATACAAATAAAATTTAATTAATTTTTTTTTTATTTGTTATATTCTATATTTCATATTGTATCTTATTTATGACATTATATATTTTATATTCTATTTGTAATATTCTATACTCTATGCAATATTTCTTAAATTGCTATATTGAACTTCATATTATTTTTGGCAAAATATTAGTACTGTATTTATCTGTATAAAAAAAATCAAATTTAAGCATGTAGTATATATGTAATTAATAGTACTAGTATATAAATGTTAAATAAATAATTATTGTTATTAAATACTAGTAAATAGGTTATATATAATTATTAAATAAATAAATTAATTAACTATCATTATTGAATAATGATAAATAATAAATAAATATTATTAATTAAATTATCATTATTAAATTATATTTATCAAATTTTATTTATTTAAAATAAACATAAATATTAAAATTAGTATCATAAAGCATTAATCAAACATATAATAAATTTAATATACTTAAAATGTATTAAACTAATACAAATAGACCTCTATAACTGCACTTTCTTGAGATTATAGTATTAAAGTATGCATTTAGAAAGAATATGCATTTAAAAGCAAAATTTAAGAATTCTAATAAAAAAAAGCATGAATTTATAAAAAGTGCATTTGTGAAAGTCTGACTGTACTAAAAATAATAAATCTAATAAAAATATTAAATTTTTAATAAATTATTTTTACTTTTTATAAATAGATATTTTGACAAAAAGTATATATACTAATTTGCTTATTTATCAAATTATAAACATAGATTATTAGTTAGTGTAGTAGTTAGGTTGTCATCTTCCAAGTAGCAGATCTAAAGTTCAAATTTCACTTATGACAAAAATTGGAAAATTATAACTGCATTATAATAACTGTCTCTTGTTAATTAGTTGGCCTTATA